AAGAACTTCATGTGATCCAGTACATTTCTCTAAAAACTAAGCACATTTTAAAAACACAAGCAGATTAATAACTCTGTAGTCTAAAATTTCAAATCCAGAATAAAAGAGAGAATTGATCAAACGTAGTTACATGCAAAGCACTGCTCATCTATCACCATTTGTGGGGAAAAAATATGCACACATACACTTGCTTGATTTGACTTATACACAAATGTTCACATTGGGAAAGGTCAGGCTTTGAAAACCGTTCCCTAGAGATGTATTTATTCCGGCAAATATATATGAGTCACTGTACATATTTTATATAAACCATAAGATTGGTTATGATCATAAGACCATTTTAGTTTTTTTTTTTTGTTTTTTTTTTTGCCAGAGAGAGCTTTCTGTAAATGTTTTCTTTGGAACATTTTTAGAAATAATTAAAACACAAAGCCACAAAAAGCCACAGTATTTAAATGCATAACACATAGTAGAATTAGCACTATCGCACTAGCTTTTGTTAAATCTCACTGCTGTTGGTAGCCTGTCTCAAGTCTTCCATCACTAACTCCTGGCTGGGTTCTTCAACGCTTTTCCTATAAAGCAAATTTTCCCTGCGTGGGTTTTGAAACGTAGGTTCCCGGGCGTGCTGATGAGATGAGCTTCTGACCACATTGTTTTTAGCTTTTAGGGCATAGGCTTCCCTGGGCTTTGCCTTTCTTTGGCAGAGCTGGAGCTGGAAAGCATCTTGGAAACCCCGGCGGAAATTCTCGTTGAAGAAACCGTAGATGATGGGGTTGACGCTGCTGTTGCCAAACGCCAGCCAGTGCGCGAAAGGGTAAATGTAGATGTTGATGACCCGCAGCTCGTTCGGAGACAGGTCCGCGTAGTCCGAGAGCATCATCAGGGTCCACAGGGGCAGCCAGGAGAGGATGAAAAGCAGGGCCACGATCAGGAGCATCTTAACCACTCTCTGCTTCCTCCTGGACGCCACGTGCCACTGCTCCTGGCTCTGCCTGCCGGTGGGGGGCACCCCGGTCCTGCAGAGCGAAACCCCGATCCTTGCGTACATAGCAACGATGAGGGACAGCGGGGCCAGGTAGATGCTGGCGAACAGCACAGTGGTGTAGACCTTCCTCATGTCCCGATTCGGCCAGTCTTCCCGACACCAGTAGACTGGGCTGCTTCTATTCTGGGAGCTGAGTCTCACTCGGTAATATTTTTCTTCTTGCACATGTAGCATGACCGCAGAGGGAGACATAATGGTGATGGCCAAGACCCAGATGACCACGATAACGACAAGTGCTGTCTTGATAGTCAGCTTTGATTTAAAGGGGTAGACGACACAGCGGAACCTGCGATTAAAGGCAAGTGTTAATCAGGTACTGCCTCATAACTTCTCACCAAGTCACCAATCCAGTTTATGTAAGTAATGGCAAGCCTCCCACCCACAGTCCCCTCAAAAATATAGAAAGTCACCATTTGTAGTAGAGAGGCGTGCACTGTCATTTTCTGTAATTGATCTATGATAGAAATGTTAACCGAAAATTTGGATAAATGGAGTATATCAGACACCAGTCATAACAAAGTGATAATAGTCTCACCTCTTCTGTGAACCTACCACTCCCTGTTCTGACAAGGAGAATTGATTATTCCCTCCTTTGCAGAGCTGTTTTGCATTGGATTCCTAGTAGAAAGCATTATTTGTAAATATTTGTTAA